CGCTAGCTTCACCGCCGACTCATTGTCACAGAAAATCACAGTCGGCTCCCTCTGGCACACTCCGATCTCCTCCAACAAACGCCTCAGCCACCCCACCTCCTTTGCCCCATGATGCAGGGCCATGTACTCTGTCTCACACGAGGACTGCCCCACCTCGTTCTGCTTCTTGCTGCGCCAGCTCACTACACCACCTCCAAATAGGCACACATAGCCTCCAATGCTGGTGCCATCCGCCTTCACAGAGTTGAAGCTGGCGTCGGTGTAGCAAGTCAGGAGCATCTCCCCCTTGCCCAAATTAGTTGCACCCCTCTGCAGCCTGTGTCGCACAGCACTGTACTCCAAGCCCACTGATGCCGTAGCGCTCACATAGCGGACCAACCTCATGGCCGCTTCCAGCTGCTCATGACTGGGGCGTGCAACCAGACTTGCAAGCCTGGATGTAGTAAAGGCAATGTCAGGCTGCGTGTGGCTAGCCGCATAATTGAGTGCCCCCACCATGGAATGAAAGAACTTCCTGTCACTCTCACCCACCACCTCCTCATCAGCACAGGGCTCCACTCTGAACCGTGAAGGCAGTGGGGTGGCTGGCTTCCCTCCATTTTGCAGCCCATACTTCTCGGCCAGCCCCTCACAGTACTTCCTCTGGTCCAATCTCAACACTCCCTTGTCAAGGTCCCTCTTCACATGCATCCCTAGGTAATACTTCACATCTCCCATCTTCGAGCACTTGAACTGCATCTCCAGCATCTCCTCCACACGCTCATTCATTGCAGACGACTCGGAGAAGAGTAGGATGTTGTCCACATACACCAGGAGCATGAGAAACTGCTCCTTCTCTTGTAGCAGGAACAGGCTGTGGTCACACTCACTCTTCTTGAACCCCCCAGCCAGCAGTGTCTCCTCTAGCTTGTGGTACCATGCACGAGGAGCCTGCTTCAGGCCATAGATGGCCTTCTTCAGCCTGCACACCCTGCCGCTCCCATCATCCAAACCCTCAGGCTGTAACATGTACAGCTCCTCCAGAATGATCCCATTGAGGAAGGCGGTGGTGATGTCCATCTGCTTCACCCGCCATCCACGGTTTGCTGCCACTGCCAGTGACACTTTCAATGTTGTGCCTTTCCCCACAGGAGCAAAGATCTCGTCATAATCCTTCCCCTTTGTCTGCTGAAACCCCTTAGCCACAAGTCCTGACTTGTAGCGGGCCAGCTCCCCATCAGGTCCGTACTTGTGCCTGAAAATCAGCTTGGAAGAAATGGCCTTCTTCCCAGGTGGCAGCTCACACAGCTCCCACGTCTCATTCTCCAGCAGAGAGTCTCACTCCTCCTTCACACTCTGCTTCCATTTTTCAGCATCCGGCCCACTCAATGCCTCAGCTAGCGTCTTGGGCTCAGGGACGGCTGCCCAGTAGCAGTGTGCTATCTCCTCCTCATCACACTGCTCAGCCACACTCCCAGCCCTTACCACCTTTGGCTTGCCAAAGCTCGGATAGGTCAGCCGGTTAGGAGGGCGTACATCCCTCCTAGGACGGTCAGCCGGACGTGCAGCACCTTGTGGAGCACCTTGCTGCTGCTGCTTCTGCGGTTGCTGCTGCTGCTGCTGTTGCTCCTCCACCTCAGGTTCTCCCCCATCCTCAGTCACCCCAGAGATCTCCTCCTCTAAGACAGTGACCTGCACTTGTCTCGAAGGCCGCTGCACCTCATCGGCCTCAATGATCAGCGGTGTAGTAGGAAGCTTCTGCTGCTGCTGCTTCCACTCCTTGTAGTATAAGGACTCGAGGAACTTCACATCCCTTGACACAGTCAGCTGCTGGCTGGTCAAGTCCCAAATCAGCCAGCCCTTGTGATCCTTAGCAAGCCCCAAGTGCACACCCCATCTCCCAGAAGCTTCCAGCTTTCCCCTCTTCTCCTTAGGCACATGAAACACCACCATGCACCCAAAGGCTCTCAGCATGTTGACTGCTGGTGCACTCCCATACCACTTGGTGTAGGGGACCCACTGCTTGTCCCCCACAGTCGCCAGCACCCTGTTCTTCACAAGGGCGACCTGCCGCAGTGCAGTCACCCAAAACGGATCCGGCAGCCCTGCACGCCCAAGGAGAGTGCGAGCACCTTTCTGCAGGGTCCGGTTGAACCGCTCAGCCACGCCGTTCTGCTGAGGGTTGTAGGGCACTGTGAGCTGATGCTGGATCCCCTTCTTCTTTAGCACCGCCTCAAAATCAGCACCAATGAACTCTCCCCCATTGTCTGTGCGGATCACCTTCACCTTGTGTCCGCTCTCTCTTTGAGCTCTCGGCATCCACTCCTTGAGAACAGCCGTTGCCACCTCCCCCTTTGTCTTGAGAGGGTATACCCACACCGCACGTGTGTGGTCGTCCACTATCGTCAAGAAGTAGCGGCTGCTCGAGAGAGAAAGGGCCCTCGTGGGGCCCACCACATCCATGTGCACAAGCGCGAGTGGAGCCTTGGCTGGTCCCGTGCTGCTGCTGAAGGGAAACTTCGTGAATTTGGTCTCAAGGCATGTAGGGCAGCTCCCAATCTCCTTTGCTGCCTCCTTCACCTCCAGCCCCTTCAAGCACCCATCCTTCACTAACTTCTGCAGCATAGGGATGTTGATGTGACACAACCTCTCGTGCCACGTCTCCCAATCAGCCTCACCACTCCCAGATGAAGCCTTTGCCCATGCAGCTGTTGCATCCACACTAGCAAGCACCTCACCATGTGACTGCTGTGGCTGCTGCTCCTTCTTGACTGCATCCAGGACCCCATCAGTTGGTGCAGTCTCCTCTCCTCCCGCAGTTGCTTTAGCCGCTGCCGCTGCCGTTACCTTTGCTGGTGGTTTCCCTTTCCAAGGGATGATGGGCAGCTGCCACAGGTCCTTGATGCAGCTGCTCTTCTCCTCCAAGTCCCACAGCAGCAACTTCCCAAGCTTTGCACGGCAGCTGGTTGGGCCGAACGTAACTTTGGCCTTGCTTTTCTGCAGCCGGCGCACAGAAAGAAGGTTAGCGGACAAACCTTCAACCAACAGCACATTCCCCAGCCCCACAAGCCCTCCATTGGCTCCCATGACCTTGGCATTCCCAACACCAATCACAGGGAGCAAAGTACCTGAAGCAGCAGCCACAAACTTGATCTTCCCTGGGGGTTTTACCTCGTCAAGCAAATCTGCCCGTGGGGTCATGTGACTTGTGCAACCTGAATCTATCACCCAGTGGGTGAGGGGGTGCATCACAACCTTCCCAACTGAACCCACATCACCCCCACTCCCTTGCACATCCTCAACCATGAGGAACATCCCAGGGTCGGCTTTACCTTGTGCACCATCACATTGTGCACCTGAACCTTGCACAGCACCACCTCGTGCACGTTCACCACTTGGCGGCTTCATGCCTGGAGGCGCCCATCCTTCAGGCCGGCTGAAACACTTGAACCATGGGTGTCCAGCCTTCTTGCAGTACCAGCATGCACCCTCCATTCGGGTGCTCCCCCTGCCTCCAGAGCTCCCATGCCCCTCATTATAGTCACCTCGGCCTCTCCCTCTGCCAAAGCCTCTCCCACGGCCTCGGCCTCTCCCTCCCCCTCTTCCTCTGCTGCCTCTTGCAGCTCCATACCCCTCAGCAGTTTTGTTGGCAGCACCACCTCCAGTGTGGCGCCTGCGGAAGTCCTCCTGCAGGATCTGCTGCCGTAGCCACTCAGGCGTCCACTTGTCCTGCTGAGCGTTGAGGGTGGGGATGAGGTTGTCCCACGAGTTGTCGAGCACCGAGATGATCTTGGTGCATTGCTGCACCTGCGACACTTCGCTGCCCGCCGCTGCCATCCTCGCATAGGTGTCCTTGATCTTGTCAAGGACTGGTTTCACATCATCTCCCGGTTTCATGGAGAGGGCAGCCAACTCCTTCTCCAACACAATCACCATCGGCAGCGTGTCGGGCTGAATCACGTCGCGTAGCAGCTTCCATGCCTTCGGTCCGGAATCATCCAACTCCACCAAATCCTTGATGTGCTGGAACATGTCGTTGTTGACTGATTGGAGGATGAGGTCGTACAGCACCGCGCTCTTCTCAATCCACCGATCGCGGGCATCTCCTTCCCCCGGCATCTTCTCCTCTCCCATTGCAATTTTCAGCAGCTTGTAGCGCTTGAAGGCGCTCCGCATCCGCTCGCTCCATTCCTCATAGTTGGAGCCATCCAAAGCTTCAATCTTGGATGGTGGCGGCTCACTCCTCTTCTCAGCTGCATCTCCACTCCCTTGATTCATCGCCTCTGCTCCCAATCAGAGGTTTCAGCTCCCCTCTTTGCTGGTCACAATGTAGATCCACACAATCTTCACAAGTGTCGGCGCCAACGAAATTTCGGCAGAGTTTCCCCTTAGTGGAAGTCACATGTCACCGCATATGCAAGGGATGCATATGCAATAACAGTAGAGTGCGGTGCTGGGAAGTAGTATAGCAAATAGCTAAGAATGCATTGAGGTAGATAGATAAGAAGTAGTGTAGGAGGTGTAGCCAGTAGCGAAGTGTCGGTTGCAAAGGGGTGCAGAAAGGGGGAAATATGTGGGAGCGGTTGGGATGAAGGGGGAAAAGCACCGAAGGGCGAAATGTGGGATTCGAACAAATCCCAACCTCGAGCCGCACATTGGAAATGTGCAAGCCGAGGTTGGGTAAGGTCACCCACGCCCACTTACTCGATGCCTATTGTTCAGTATTCTTTCATACTAGTGCAGGGCTGTTATCCTAGTTACTACACGCGGTGGCACAGCACTAAGAAGGAACCGGTGGGGTGAGGGAGTGATCCCGTTCATACTGAACAATCGGACGCGACACGCAGTCATGGATAAATATGAGCTACGTTGGGGTAGGGTGTTTAGTCGCCGGGAGGAGGAACGAGCACGAGGTGAGCCGTCACGCGAGCGCGGGCGATCTCTGGAGCGCTCGCCGCGAAGGCCGGCATTTCGCGCAGATAGAGTCCCCGTCGCTGGGGACCGACGGGCGGAAGGGAGGCCTAGCGTGGCAGCGGGTGGAGAAGGATACGCCGCAAGCGCGGACGGAGACGTGTGGCGAAGAGGGCATGATCGCGGAGATGGATACGGGAGCGGAGACTGACGCGCTGTGGGAGTGTTCCGCTCGCCGGAAGAGCGCGGGCGCCGCCGTGATGAGAGGGGCCGTCGGCAGGGCGTCGAGCGATTCGACGCCAACCAAGGAGGGGAGGCCGCAGAAAAGGAAGAAGCGTGGGAGACGTCCGGCGAGGAAGAGGCAGAGGAGGACGCAGCGAACCTGGAACGGGCGGTCGAAGACGCCAACGGAGAAGATGACGGCGAGGAACCCGCGGCTGGGATCGGAAGCGCCGAGCCTGAAGAGGCGGACGTTGCCGGGGGCGCAAGCCAGGCAGGGGCGGAAGGATCGCGGTCGGGACGGTCGGAATCACGCGGCCGCGACGCAAGCCACCAGGAGGAGCATTACGCGGAGAGGTCGCGTCAGCAGGAGCGGCGGGACTGGGGCGTGCATGCCGGCGCTGTGGGGACGCAAGGAGAACGCGGCAAAAGGGAGGAAGAGGGACCGCGCGCGTCAGGGGAAGGATCGCGGCGCTGGGAGCGGCCTTCTGTTAACCCTCGCGCACTCGACTGGCGCCAGGCACAAGGGGGCTGGGGCGAAGACGGCGCACGATCGCCGGACAGGCAGCTGATGCACAAGGGAGGATGGGAGGGCGAGCCACGCGCAGCCAGCCACCACTAGCGGCGGGAAGAAGGACGCGAGGAGGGGCCCAGCTCATCAGAGAGGCGCGGCCAGCGGCAAGAGGGGCGCGGCGGGGAGGCACGGACGTCTGGCCCGCAAGCGCAATGGGAGAGGAGGGTGAGCGGCGGATTCCGCTCGCCTCTCGTCCGGATGCAGCGGGGAAGAGAAGGCGGCGGAGACAGGCGCTCGCCCGGGGATCGTCGGCAGCAAGGAAGGGGAGAAGCATGGGAACCGTCGCCAGAGAGGCAGCGGCAGCGAGAGACGAGCACGGCGAGGTGGAGAGAGACACGAGTCTCGCCGGCACGAACGCGAGGGCGTGCGGGGGAGGAGAGGGGCCCGAGAGAAAGGCACGGTGACTCGGGCTGGAACCGGCGGGAGAGCAGAGCTGGAGGGGGGAGCTTAGCATATGGCGCTGAGCGGGCCCGAGAGGCCAGGGAAGGCATGGAGAGGGCCAAGGAGAGAAGGACTGGGGAAGAGCGGCTGGGAGGGGCCAGGGAATCGTGGGGAGAAGGGCGGGGAAGTACAGCCAGCGCGACGCGGGTGGAAGTGCCGGCGAGGTTCTCGGGGGACCAACGGGTGGGGCCGGCCCTCAAGAATTACTTGATGCAGGTGGGGAACGTGAGATACCGCTGTGACAGGCAAGGCATGGACCCAGTAGACTTCTTCTTGAGCCTGTCCAACACACTGGAGGGAGAGGCGGAGACCCTGTACCGCATGAGGATGAACGAGCTGCTGTGGAGGGCAGGGAGGTACGGGGAGGATCCCACCGAGGCATTTCTGGAGCGGCTTCAGCGTCAATTCCCGGGACACACGGCGGAGCGCATAAGGGAGTTTCAGGAGTTCAAGAGGGGACGAACAGAATCCCTACTGACCTACTACAACCGTCTGATAAACTTGGCGGAGGATGTGAAATGTTCGGACAGCAGCCTCCTCATCAGTAAGTTTCTTGGAGGCCTGGACGAAACACTGGGGGGGGGACTGAGGATGAGGGTGTACGAGTTGGGGGCGGATGCGGCACTAGAGGAGGTGTTTGACCTGGCGGAAAGGGTGGAGCTGGCACAAAGGAGGTATGAGGCCTACCTGCCGAGGCCGACAGAGAGGAGCCGCAGACCGACATGGGCGGCGGCTATGATACCAGAGGAGCGAGGGAGGGTGGACCCACACGGGGAAGAGAGAGCCGACGCGCGCACCTGCTACCGGTGTGGACAGATGGGGCACCTCCGCAGAGAGTGCAAAAACTGTGATGGATGTGGGAAGCCTGGGCACCGGAAACGAGAATGTCCGGATGCGGCGAAGTGTGAAATCTGCGGGAAGAAGGGGCACGAGGCCAAGGAGTGTTACCAGCGGGAGGGAGGGGCAAGGAGGAAACCAGAGGAGCTGCAGCGGCAGATCAGCAGGCTGCAGTCTCAACTGCAGGCCATGGGGTCAGGGTGGGGAGCGGAGGCGGGGATGTACGCTAGGGACGAGGAGGGAGAAGGGGTGGAGCCGGACGTGCAGTGTGCCCTCATGGCCTGGAGAGGCAGGGAACAGATGGGGCTGCGTAGCGGGGGGAAGGATGGCAGGCAGGAGCATAGCCAAAAGCCACGTGAGCAGGGGTCCAGGCCGGACGCGCCAGGAGGAGAGAAGACCCCAGCCCGCCACCCGCAGGAAAGACTCGCGTGCCAGACCTCGGTGCTGCTCGTGGAAGCAGGAGCGGTGGAAGTGGGGGGGATGAAGGTAAAGACGGCGATCATTGACACAGGAGCACAGAGCGTGATGCTGGGTAAGGGGATGGCCGAACGGTTGGGGCTGATGGCCCCTGAGAGGCACGTGGCGAAGGGGATGTTAGTCATGACAGCAGAGGGAGGGGAACCAAAGTGGATGCCGTGCACACGGACCCCCATAGAGTTGACACTGCTGCCAGGAGGGGAGCATGAAACAAGGATCAGGATGAAGTGTGGAATCTCGGAGTCCGAGGACTTTGACCTGCTGATGGGGACGGAATTGGTGTTCGCTGTAGGCATGCGCATATGTACCTGGATGGAGAAGGTGGAGTTCCGAACGAGATACTGGAAGAAGGAGGGACCATTGGGGCAGCTGTCAGTGCAGTTTGTAAGGGTGGAGCCGAAGCGGGCCTATCAGGTCGGAGCAGGAGGGGCACAAAGGGGGCAGAGAGGAGCAGCAGAGACCAAGGAGGGGCCCAGGATGAAACTGATGGACAAGCCGGGGCAGCATAGCGATTGGCAGCAGCCCATCCGGCTAGTAGAGTTGTTCGGAGGAATCGGGGCAGGGCTGGCGGCAGCAGTGAGGAGTGGGATTGCAGTGCAGCAGTGGGTCTATGTGGAACTGGCACCACAGGTGAGAAGGATGGCTGAGCATCACGCGCGGAAGCTGAGAGCTGAGTTCCCGGACCTCCTGAGTGAGAAAGTAATTCAGGAAGCCATGAGCAGTACGGTGCACGATGTGAGTCAGATCACAGAGGAGCAGGTGGCCAGCTGGGGGCAGGTGGACCTGCTGGTGGCGGGATGGGAGTGTCAAGGGGTGTCATGGGCAGGAAAAGGGAAGGGAGGGGAGGACCCGAGGACGAAGCTGATGGACAACCTGTTCAATATCCTGGAGTGGCTGCAGGAGAGGCAGGGCAGAGTGGCTTACTTGCTAGAGAATCTGGATCTAGAAGGGGATTGTAGAGAGCTGATTCGGCTGGTGAGGGAGAGGATTGGTCGGCACGTGGGAAAAGGGATGAGCTGTGATGCAGCCAGGGCAGGGTCGTACGCTCACCGCCTCAGGATGTACTGGCAAAACGTGGTTCCCGTGCTGGATCTGCAGGAGGAAGCAGAGGGGATGAGGAGGGCTGCAGGGAGGAGGGTGGTGGACATCCTGGAGCCGGGACGGACTCCCGCGCCAGTTTGTCAAAGAAGTTACAGCAGGCACTACCCGTGCAACCAGGTGGGGCAGGACAGGAGGGCTCTGACCACCTTGGTCGCTTTTGCAGATGCAGCAGGCTACAGGTGGGAAAAGGGGGAGCCCGGACCCGGGCTGATATATGACCACAAGCGGGGACGGTGGGAGGAACCGTCCAGTAGGACCAGTGTAGGGAGACGAAGCAGGCAGTGGGGAGGCCGGCTGTAACTGTAACTGCGACGGGACAGGCTGTGGACACTCTAAGGGAGGAGGAGGACCAGTAGAAGACGGGAGACCAAGAATTTGCTGAAGGAGCGGAACGAAGTACGGCCGAGGCCGCGCGGCGACTCCAGACACAGCAGGGACAGCACCAGCACCCTCAGTGGCAGCACCAGCACCAGTAGCAGCTCCAGCTCCAGTACCTCCAGCAGCACCAGTAGTACCCCCAGTAGGACCGCCTCCAGGACCGACAGCAGGAGCCTCCGCGCCAACACCCGCAGCAGCTCCAGCTCCAGAAGTGCCCGCAGGCCCAGCAGCTCCAGTACTCCCAGTACGAGCACCTCCGAGACCCATGGCACCAGCTCCCTTAGCAGCAACAGAACCTCCAGTACCCGCAGCACCTCCAGCTCTAGCAGCTCGCCTCCAGCGCCGGGCAAACCACTCACGCAGCTCCTGTGGAGAGAGTGGCTCTCGGCACGACGAACCACTCGGAGAACCGCAAGGCACAGCACCAGCAGGCCCAGCTCCCTCAGGCTCCGCACCCCCAGGCTCAGTACCTCCACGCGTAGCACCCCCAGGCTTAGCACCCCCAGGCTCAGCACCCCCAGGCGTAGCACCCCCAGGCGTAGCACCCCCAGGCTCAGCACCCCCAGACTCAGCACCCCCAGTAGTAGCACCCTCAGGCTCAGCACCCCCAGGCGTAGCACCCACACGCTCAGCACCCCTAGAGTCAGCACCCCCAGGCTCAGCACCCTCAGCAGCACCAGAGTCACCAGTAACCTCGACAGGCTCGACTGCGTCTACCTGGGACACACCTGAAGGGGCAGGACCCTGAGGGGGGAGGGGGTCTACCGGGGGGGGACCTGGCACAAAGAAGAGCGGTGGCGGGGGGAGGGACGGAGTGCGGTAGGGGAAGAGGCGGTAGTAGGGGACCGACTCGTCAAACGTGACGTCCTGGGAGGACAGAACACGGCGAGAGGTGGGGTGGTAGAACTGCCACCCTGGCGCGTCAGGGGGGAAGCCAAGGAAGACGCAAGGAGCAGCACGAGGGGACAGCTTGTCCGCAGACAAGTCGCGGACAAACGCCCGAGATCCCCAGACACGGAACGCAAACGCATCGCCTACCTTCCCCGTCCACAACAAAGCTGGGGAGGTCTCCGGCATGGAGACCCTGGGGTGAAGGTTGATCTGATGCGCCGCGTACCGAACCGCAAACGGCCAAAGAAAATGGGGGGCAGCCGCATGCATCATGGACGTACGGGCGACGTCCATGACCATGCCAATGCGGCGCTCAGCAATCCCATATTGCTGTGGAGAGTCCGGAAGCGTAAAGGTCTGGCGGATGCCTCGCGCACGACAGTAGGCTCGCAGAAGGCCAGAGGAGAACTCTCTGCCTCTGTCAGAGTGCAGACGCAGAACAGGAAAGTCCGAGCCGAAGCTCCTCCTGAGCTGGAGACGAGCTGCGTGGATCCAGTCGATCAACACCTCAGTGACATCACCCTTGCTGCGCAAGGGGAAGACTGTGGTGTAACGTCAGTAGTCGTCAACCACCAGCAGGAAGTAGCGCTCGTGACCCTGTCCACGGACGTGGGCCGGGCCCCACACGTCCATGTGAATCGTCTGCAGCGGGGCCTCTGTCGGGGGAAACTGAGAGGAGTGAGGGGCAGCCCGCAGCCGCCCCTCGACACAGGGGACGCAGGTGGGGCCAGGCCCCGGAGGAAGGGGAGGGAGGGACCGGGGAAGACCAGAGACAAGGACACGGGAGGCCATGCCTCGGAGACGAGGCAGGGAGGGGTGACCAAGGCGGTGGTGCCAGAGGAGAGTCTCGTGAGACAGGAGGCGACACGAGCGGCATTAGAGAGGGAGCTGGCTATGGGATATGGAGAAAACGTGACGGCAGCACCAGGGGTGAGCGAGGAAGACAGGAGGAGGGCAATGGGGAATGCCATGGATGGCTACATGATGAGGTGGCTGGTGCAGAGGATGTGGCGAGAGATGGTCTTGGGTGGGGGGCAAGAGGCAGATAAGGTGGCGGCAGCAGCAGCCCCACAAGGAGCATGGACCTGCCAGGAGGAGGAGGGAGGGAAGTGGACAGTGGGGGAAGCGATGACTGAAGAGGGAAGGGAAGCTATGCTGGGACTGCTGGCCAAGCATAGGAAGTGCTTTGCCTTCACACTGCAAGAACTGGGAAGGTGCAAAATGAAGGAGATGGAGCTGAAACTGAGCAGCACAGAGCCGGTGTTCCAACGGCGTAGGAAGATGCCGCACGGAGATGAAGAGATATGCAAGGAGAAGATTAAGGAGCTG